TGTCCGAAGGTTTAAACAGCGCATACAATTAAGTAAATTTTTGGGAAGCAAATTTAAGGATGGTACTAAGAGATACGAATAATGATGTTTTGTAGCTCACTCCGTCAACACTCCGGTTATGAAATTTTCACCATACAGAAGGTGTTATATGGTATATTATTGGAAAAATTAACAATAATGCGTTCTAAACCTCACTTTTGTTTATATTCAATCAAAATATCACGTTCAATAGTGTCTATAACCCTACCAGTGTAAATGAATTTCAAATATGTTTTTGTGTCCACATGCGTTACCTATCAGAATAAGTTTTCGATTTTGAGACATAAAAAATTCCTTGCCATGGATAAAACCACAGTCCAAATCACCTCAGTCAAGCTATGAAAAAGATCATTTCGCTGAGGAGAATATGCAAGCATAGTGGAGCAACACTAATTGCTTCAAGATGTTGCGTGGTTGTTCTGTTCTCGGTCGTAGTCATCTTTTTTTTCTTAAGCAAGTGAAAAGCTGCAAAACTGGGGTTGTTGATGTTGGGATGAAATGAAAATGTGTTGGTTGCACGAGGTATGAGTGATTAGTTTGATTTGTACTTTAAGCATTCGTGACTCCTATAAAAAAAGAAGGACTGTCTTTCTTTGAAATTATATTGTTAGCCACTTCGCTCTCATTATTGGCATAAGCGGCCTTATCTTCCGCTTCATGGCGCTTTCGTTGTTAATTTAAGCCATCATCACCAACTTTGATAAGCATCTAAGATTGTCACAGCCAATCATCTACGAAGATGAAAGCAGTCAATGCTGTTGACAATCTCAGGCTGCTCAGCGTTAGCACAGATGCAAATGGGCTGACTGCTGACACCTCGCCGTATGGGCGACGCACCGAACGAGTATTTACCCATACTTGCGTATGCATTGGATACCCATCACAGATTGACGATGCGCTCAACTGTTACGTGCATGGGGGCTGTTCACAATGCTTGGGATATTTGCTTGGATTACCAGATGGTCGACTAAACCAAGTACTTAGACACAATGCGGGAGGATCAACATAGCGTTGAAGAGATAAATGAAATGCAGCGGAAAATCACATAATATCTCGTGATATCAGATATAACGTCGTGTTTTTAAGAACAAACTTAAATTAGTTTTAGCAAAATAAAATCTTGGCAATAATTTAAATAAAATAGATGTGGTGTCGTCGCACAACTAAATTAGTTGTTTCTAAAACTTAATATAAATCCCGTTGCTTTCATTTGTTCCTTTGAAAGAGTGGAAAAGACACCAGTACTTTCCACTGCACAAAACTTACTATCATTTGGAAAAAAATCATTTTTTCACTCCTGTGATTAACCCATAGTTGCATCAGCCGCTCAGTCCATAAAGAACAGTAGTAGTAATGGTTTAAACTTGCATAGTATACCTAGACTTGCAAATTCTTTGCTCATTTTTGAAGTTCTTGGTTTGAAAAAGATAACAATTGCATCGACTTGGCTTTGGGCAAGCTTTTATGGGAAGTCTCTTCACATCTAAAATCTACATTGGCTCGTTTTGAACATTAGAACCTTGGAATATGAGAGAGATTTCTTTCTGTTAAATCTTAAAAAGCTTTTTTGAGAAAAGTATAACAAATACATGGCTCAAGCAGTACGCTTGAAAATGAAATAGCTTTACAAAGGCATGTTCTCATCTTAAGGAACGGAATGCAAGCAATAGAATTTAGCTTATAGAAATTGTTCTAATAGGTCATATGAAAAAAGATAACCGCTAAAAAGATGGCCTCCAAAAATGATTTATAACAAAAGTATCATTTTGCATTTAATCATCTAAGCATTTTATGGAAATAAGAACTGGCAGTGTCTCAAAGACTATCTCTCAGTTTCCACGAATTGTTGAATAAGGCAACTGGAGAGCGCTTGAAAATGCAAAAGCGAAGTCTTTGAAAAATTTCAAAATCATCTCCGAAGAACACGCATAGAATCGGCAAAAAGATTTTTTGATTGTTCTTTCTTCATCCACTATTTCTGCAGCAGCATCGTTTAACTTTCTTAACTT